CTGATTCGGTTCCCGGACTGGCAGCTCTGTCCTTCTATAGACTAACTGATTCGGTTCCCGGACTGACAGCTCTGACAGCTCTGTCCTTCTATAGACTAACTGATTCGGTTCCCGGACTGACAGCTCTGTCCTTCTATAGACTAACTGATTCGGTTCCCGGACTGACAGCTCTGTCCTTCTATAGACTAACTGATTCGGTTCCCGGACTGACAGCTCTGTCCTTCTATAGACTAACTGATTCGGTTCCCGGACTGGCAGCTCTGTCCTTCTATAGACTAACTGATTCGGTTCCCGGACTGACAGCTCTGTCCTTCTATAGACTAACTGATTCGGTTCCCGGACTGGCAGCTCTGTCCTTCTATAGACTAACTGATTCGGATCCCTGAGTACGAAGGAGACAGTATATTTGCAGTTAAAAGACAAGGATATCTCGACACTCGGAATATTTCTCTGTTTAGCTTGGAGCACTACTCTCAGATTGTAATATCTCATATTTTCCTTCCTCGTCCCTGGCAACATTTTTTGTCTGTAAGAGAATATCCCATCAGACGCTAAACTTGTTAATTGTAATCGTTTAACGACGTTCAGAGTACTTTTAGGTGTTTTTGACACTGCAGTAATAAACCAGACCAAATACATCAAAAACATTAAACATTTTATTTTTCATTCAATAATTGACAATAATGAAGACGAGATAATGATTAATTATACTTTAAAAGTTTTTAATGAAAGACGTTGATATAGTATGTAATATATGACAGAGCAGATGTCGTACAACAAAAAATAATTCCTCTTACTTATCACAGCCGCAGAACTGGATAACCACAATCCTATTATATCTCCCGAATATACAAACGTTATAATATGACTAAAATTGAGTGGTGCTAGATACAAGCAAAAGTCTAGGACGGATTAGTCGGGACGGAGTCGTCGTTTATTTATGTTAAATGATAAAAGAGCACCTGTTTACATAGCTACGACACTTAATTAAAATTCTCTTGTCCTTTCAGGATGACATTGCTACTTACTGTACGTGTAATACAGTTGTACCAAACAGAATTGTATTCTGATCTTTGGAAATGTGGTTCTCATTTCCACAAAGACTTCCCGGAGTTATGGGCTTTTTTCAAAAAAGAATTTTATCAAAGTCGCTAACTTTAGTTAAGTTTACATAATAAACTATACAGATAAAAGACAATAGTGAAGCTGGCCAGTCTGAGAGGAGGTTTACCTATATAACAGTCAATGGATCCGTCAGTCTTACTATCTTCAGTTTTAATATCAGTGCGCCATTTACTGACCAATGGACGTTAATTATAGATTTCCCTTTGGCTGTGGTCAGCCGTAAATGACCCGCACACAGGATTATACTGTTGTAAAACTGGCTGTAATGCTATGTTTCTGATGTTACTAAGTCGTTACAGGGATGAATTATCTAGAGCGCCATATAGCGGTGAAAACTATAAACTATAAAGCGGAAACAGTATGTTGTTTAATCTCTGATTCTCACAATTAGTATTAGGTATTCACGTGTATTCCCTAAAGTCCGGGTAATGACAGGAAAGTGACCGTGATAACCCGAACGTACAGGTTCAACACTATACACCAATCCACTCCTGCTAATTCTCTTATTTCTTGATCGCACACCTGGAATAATTCCCCTATTCATGCAGCAAAGTACATGGATTGCATTGTTGATTTTTCTAGCACAGTGTTAAGTTACACAATTATTGAAGGTAAAGAGGTCCTGTTGATGACGTCAATACACTCACTGGCCTTCGTCAGTATATAGGGTCCATACTTTCCATCACGAATGGCCACGTTACCATTCAAACTACAATGATCACCTCGTCGCGTTATCATTCAAACTGGAATAACAACCTGACCACGTTATCATTCAAACTAGAATGACCGCCTGACCACGTTATCATTCAAACTAGATGACCGCCTGACCACGTTACCATTCAAACTAGAATGACCGCCTGACCACGTTATCATTCAAACTAGATGACCGCCTGACCACGTTATCATTCACACTAGAATGACCGCCTGACCACGTTACCATTCAAACTAGAATGACCGCCTGACCGAATGACCGCCTGACCACGTTATCATTCAAACTAGAATGACCGCCTGACCACGTTATCATTCAAACTAGAATGACCGCCTGACCACGTTATCATTCAAACTAGAATGACCGCCTGACCACGTTATCATTCAAACTAGAATGACCGCCTGACCACGTTATCATTCAAACTAGAATGACCGCCTGACCACGTTATCATTCACACTAGAATGACCGCCTGACCGCGTTATCATTCACACTAGAATGACCGCCTGACCACGTTATCATTCACACTAGAATGACCGCCTGACCACGTTATCATTCAAACTAGAATGACCGCCTGACCGCGTTATCATTCAAACTAGACGACCGCCTGACCACGTTATCATTCAAACTAGAATGACCGCCTGACCACGTTATCATTCACACTAGAATGACCGCCTGACCACGTTATCATTCACACTAGAATGACCGCCTGACCACGTTATCATTCACACTAGAATGACCGCCTGACCACGTTATCATTCACACTAGAATGACCGCCTGACCACGTTATCATTCAAACTAGATGACCGCCTGACCACGTTATCATTCACACTAGAATGACCGCCTGACCACGTTATCATTCACACTAGAATGACCGCCTGACCACGTTATCATTCACACTAGAATGACCGCCTGACCACGTTTTCATTCACACTAGAATGACCGCCTGACCACGTTTTCATTCAAATTAAAATAACTTATATGCGGTATCACATTTCTTTAGTATTGAATAAGAAATGAAAACATTTACTAATTTACTAAAATATCTTGATTGAAGTTTTTTGTTGGAAACCAGTCGAATTCATCGCCTATTAATAATATTATTAAGAAACTATGTACTTTTCTAGGGACATACCTGGAACAGTGTATATAGTTAACATCCGTTTCATTGCGCGAAGACATAGAGCTTTTGTTTGACGAAGTTGTCTGTGTAAACAGTAAAACATTCACAGCCTACACTCAGCAATAACGTATTACATGTCTTTTATAATACCCAGGTTTAAGTGACCATGTCTTCGTGTATATTTACATACAAGGAAAATCGACTGATTTCGAGTCTTCAGTACAACATACATATTCACAATAGGGTTGAGTATACATAACCCCTAAATTATTATCAATTGGCCATAAAAAGGTATTTTCTTTGAAAACCTTATCTAGCGTGGAAGCCATGTTTCCCAGTGACTGACTTGTAGTATAATTCACACATGGGTGGATAAGGCATTACATAGAATTTATTATTGTTTAAGTTTAACTACTGATAATCATATACGGACAGTTTGTTGGCGGCAATTTTATGTCTGGTAAGTCCGTACGAACAGTTTGTTGACGGTGTTTTGTGTCCGTGTGTATGTTAACGTCACTTGTGTGCCTGGTAAGTCTATACGTTCTGTTAACGTCACTTGTGCGCCTGGTAAGTCTATACGTTATGTTAACGTCAATTGTGTGCCTGGTATGTCTATACGTTATGATAACGTCACTTGTGTACCTGGTCAGTCTATACGTTATGTTAACGTCATTTGTGTGCCTGGTAAGTCAATACGTTATGTTAACGTCACTTGTGTACCTGGTAGATCTATATACTATGTTAACGTATCGGGTATATATCACCGTCACTTCTGTGTCTGGTATGTCATTATGCATGTTGATGTGATTTTTGTGTCAGTTTAAGCGGTACGTACACTGCATGTTGATGTTACGTTCGCTTCTGGTATGGCAGTGAGTATGTTAAAGTCACTTTTTTTGTCTTGTATCCGTAAAACTACGATAACGGCACTTTTATTCCTGGTACGTATGCGGGCGTCGATTTATGGATATGAGTCCGTCCGGACGTATGTTGACGTCGATGTTGTGTCTCATCTGTCAGTACGCATATTTATAATCACTGTAGGTTTTTATTTTTATATAGCTTAACCTATAAAACGTCCCCACATAAGCTGATACAAAGATCTGGGTTATGGAAACTTGTCAAGTACCATGAAGCCAGACAAATCCTTAAATTCTCAACTCTCGACAGAGAAGTTTTGGGTTTATGCGTTAATGATAATCCACAGTTTTGGCATTGGTAACAAAAATCTGACGGAATCGCCAGGTTAACCTCATCCGTTGGACCTGTAAAGTACATACCGACGCTTATATCATATATCTAAAGTCTCTTTGTGTCGATGTGGTCCTTTTACAAATATTTGAAAAAAGGCAAAGAGAGAGAAAGAAAGCGTGTTACCTTGTTTAACAAAACGACTCAAATGCTTCTATACGCTTGTGACTCAAATGCGTGTTATATTAACAATGTAACGCAAATCGGTGTAAACTCGAGAGCATGTCAAAACACACGTATGAACATCTACTGATTAATATGGCAACTTCGTGATCTAGTACATTTTCATTTCATGTCAAAACGGCTGTATATTATATGAGACAATGGTCACATGATTTTGATAATTATTTCCTGAAAAATATAGAATCATACTTCTCGAATCTTTCCGAGTACAAAAGACACATTGCATATGACACTTAGGTTACTATGGTTACGTGCGACAACAAAAGAAGTCGATGTGCACTGTGTTGTAACTCAATGATATTCGCGAACCTCTGAGGCTTATCAAAATATTAACATATAAATAAAGTTAAATAAAGCACACACCTACTCTGAGCAATAATCCAAAACACTAAACACATAATCCATTTCAACTTTCAACACAAACATAATTATGCAAAACAAATAATAATCCAACACCGTCAGAACAGGTTCCAAAGTTTTAAGGTTAATCCCGATAAGTTGTCGGTTATAGTATCACAGCTTTACCTTTCACCTTATAATGCCCCTGGTGACAATAGCCGAAACAAGGGTGATTACACGTTTGCACAATCCCATACATCCTGACGTGAACTACGCTTTCACCTGACCCTCCTTTTGTCGCTCCTTCAGCCAGGGTTTCATATTGCGTGAACTCGTGATGTCCACATGTCCGTCCGCCTCCTCCATAATACGATCGAACGCATTATTTCCCGATCCACGCGCACTTTCATATAAATCACTATCATATTCGCTTTCCCAACCACTTTGAGCACCATTACTGAGTTCCGTTTGAATGTGAGTTGAGAAGTCTTGATATGTCCTCGGGGAGACCTGTGAGTTCTTCTTTTTCTTACCCTTCAAAGAAACCCGTGTTTCGCTATTTCTGATGGGTAGAAGCAAAGCCGCATGTGTTTGTGACCTGTGATGGTCCTTCACCTTTGCTTCCATGACGGGGCTTCCAATGTTGTACGCGTCACGGCACGACTCGGTACGACGTAACGACCTCCGTGACGTGTGTTCACGTGCCGATTGCCATGGATTGATTTTTTCACTTTGTGAACTCGTCGGCAGAGAAAGGCTATTTGAATTCCGGTAAATATCAGGCAATTTCAATTCATTGTCCTCGTTGCCGGGACTGACATTCAGCAACGTTTTATCTGTGTCTGTTGGTGATTCTAATTCAATGCTCTTTTGACCAGTAAATCCAATATTAGAAGGACAACTTGGTGATTTGCACAAACGCCGTCGTGACCTCTCGCGAGATTGACGGTGTGTGCGAGAGTTGGAGTTGGGAGTAGTCATAAAAGTTGTGACACTATTAGTCCGTGAGCCGTCAATCGTTGGCAATTTAAACACAGACTCGCTCGTGGAAACGTCCCGCTGGAATTCCATGTCCTTTTCTGGTTTGGAGTCCGTTGACAATTCCGAATCGTCCGTACTTGCCGAGTTGAGTGGAGCAGAACGGAATATCGATGGCAGAGAATTCTCCTCTCGCGTAGAACTTCTGGTTCGCATTTTGATAGGTTGTAGCGACCAAGTCAATAATCAACTTCGTTCTTCCGGTATTTCTAATTGGGCATTTACATCTGAAACAAGAAAATTTTATCTTATAAATATATCATATTGTTACTATGTCAAATCATTTAGTGCCAGGACTTGCAGTAACACCAATAGAGACTCCAAAATTAAACCACGTATGGGCATAACCTAAACAGACATACGGACTTCCTCACATATCAAATATATAACATATATCAGTATCCTAAAGTATCCCCGCATCTGTTAAAACATACACTTAAAACCTGCACAGAATTTCATATCGAACTACAGGTGTCAATTACAGAACAATCGTTTATTAAAGTGTTCTACACGATATCACTGTTAAGACATTCAGAGTCAAAATGCCATTAGTGTACTTGAGATATTTGTACGGTTTTTGTTTCAAAATAATTTAAGCACTTGCACCATACATTGTAACTTATTTCGAACTACATACACTTATCACACTGAGAAGAGAATATAGAATGTGAAACATTAATACATTGTAATATGTAAATCACAAGACATTAGTACATTGTAATATGTAAATCACAAGACATAAATACATTGTAATATGTAAATCACAAGACATAAATACATTGTAATATGTAAATCACAAGACATAAATACATTGTAATATGTAAATCACAAGACATTAGTACATTGTAATATGTAAATCACAAGACATTAGTACATTGTAATATGTAAATAACAAGACATAAGTACATTGTAATATGTAAATAACAAGACAATAGTACATTGTAATATGTAAATAACAAGACATTAGTACCTTGTAATATATAATTCTCAAGACAAGCACATTTTGATATGTAAATATAGTAATCTCGTAATAATTGTATGTTGTTATATGTAATCTCGTAATATTTGTATGTTGTTATATGTAAATCTCGTAATATTTGTATGTTGTTGTATGTAAATCTCGAAGTATTAGTATGTTGTACCTGTTAAGAACAGACAAAACATTAGCTATAACTGTATGTGTTATTATAATCAATGATAGGGTTGTGTACTCCTTGCTAGCAAACTGCACACAGCTCAGAAAATTACGTCGTAGAAAATGGAATGCCGTTATATTTAGCATTGTCCATGAATTATATATAATATTAATGGTTTTCTGATGACTAGTGTTCAGTAATGACCACTGGTCACCATTGTGGGATGACGTGTGTTGCCATGTGACACGAGGAATAGGGTTATGACATAGTGTACTGTCAACACCATTTAATAACTAAATAGTCATGACAACGCTGGTCCCCCGGTGAACGCTTGCCATAACAATACTGTTCCTAAATAACAAATTATATATTAGACAGGGATTACTTCAAATTTCATATTAATTCATCTGAAATACTCCCTTCAGATTGTTTATTACATTTGTAGTATTTCAAATTACATATACTAGATTAAATGTTAGACATATTAACATTGCCTACATTAGATATAAGCCATAAGAACATTGTCCACTATAAATATTAGACATATAAACATTTCTCACTTTAAATATTAGACATATAAACCTTCTCCACTTTAAATATTAGTCAGAAAAAATTTCCCACGATAAATATTAGACATATAAGCATTCCCCGCTTTAAATATTAGTCCCAAGAACATTTCCCACTATAAATATTACACACATAAACATTTCCCACAGTAGATATAAGCCATCAGAACATTTCTCACATTAAATGTTAAACATAAAAACATCTAACGCATTAAATAGCATATGTAAGAACATTTCCCTACAGGAAATATATCTACATTGGATAACAGACAATTGAAAATGTATCGCACATTATTGCACAGTCACTTAAAAATAGTCATTTACTTTTTAGACACGTAAATGTACCGCACATTATTATATATTATTAGAGATATTTAACATGTTCCACACTAAGCATTAAAGGCTCTTTAACCCACACTTAAAATTACAAACATCCACTCGCCGCTCGTTTTCAAACAGAATTTAATTTCTCACTCCAATTACTTACTGATAATGAACAGGGAGGTAATATGTGTCCACTCGGGGCTGGCACTGTATTTTACACCTCCTCACGAGCAAAATGCTAATAGACCAATTAATGATTGGTGTCCGTTGGTCAGTAAGGCCTGGTACGGATTGCCTGACTAATAATACTTATGCATCACTACAAACGGTTCCTTTAATGACACCTACCTTTTCCAATATTCCAAATGTATACAAATATATTTAAAGTCTGTCAGTTTCCATGGTATATGTACTCCAAATGTTTTTGGTATCACAATGTTTTTTACATGTACCGGAGTCCGTCATGGTTTGTATACATCGAACGAACCTCGCGACACACCTGTACGTCTACATGCGGACTAAAGTTAACGGGTGGAAATCACAGAGTATCGAAGGTGTATCAGCCGCTCCGTCCAATCAATGGCTCGTACGACTGCGGTTAGGTTAACAGTCGGGTTCCTTTGTCCGACTGTACACGACAGGCTACTAAATTAACTCTCAGCATTAGCTTTCTCCGATACCCTGGATAAAACCAGACAATGGCAGGCACTCCGATACGTTTGTGAGCTGTGTCTGAATCTGGATTTTCTAGGGGTAAGGGTGGGCAAACCTCATTTCATCCTTCCCCTGAAATATCAGGAACTCTACTTTCATTTTCTCTCAAGCGATAAATATGTATATCCTTAAGAATAAGGCGTAAGTTACGTCGCGCTGACGTCACCACGTACAGATGTTGGACAGTCCTATCTGTAGATCTAAGTCACCGAGGGGGGTAATAGTGATCGAGAGTATACCTACCTTGTTCCGGCCTACAGTTGGCGGTAATCGGATTTGTGCTCTATGGTTTGCTTTCTAAAGAATATATATGTACTTACATTCTTTAAGTATGGTACTTTAAAGAAGTGACCGCGATCAATGGAATACGGGTATAATGAAATCAAATCCAGTCAGTCATTATATCAAAACCAAAGAATGCGACATTGTGGTCCTGTAAATATCAGAGGCATTGGCGGTTATAGTACAAACATCATATACATGTCATGTTAAGTTCACGGACTGGAATATCAATCAGGAATCTCTACAGTCAAGTAAAACTTCCGTGATAGCTAGCAAGTGTTGGGTAATGCACTTCCGGTGCTGAAGAAATACACACGTTTTTGTCTTATTTTTAGCTCAATTGACCCGAAGGACCAAGTGAACTTTAACGGCATACCACGACGTCTGTCCGTTCGCCCGCCACCTTTATTTCTACATCTTGCTCTTATAGTCATGAACGACTGAGCGGATTTATTGTACCAAATTCGGTCTGTAGTATTCTTGGGGAAAGAGGGTACAAAGTTTTCACAAATGGTGGGTTTCGGCCTCGTGGGAACTGAGGGACTTGGCCCAAAGGAGGATATTTTGCAAGTTCTTCCTGCAGGAATGATTGAATTTTGTCCAAATTTGGTCTGAAGCATCCGCGGGTGGAAGTGAATCTATTTCGTATAAACGATGGGTCTCCGTCTCCTTGGGCGTACACCCACCTTACAGATATACCACAATCGTACACCCACCTTACAGATATACCAAAATCGTACACACACCTGACAGATATTACCACAATCGTACACACACCTGATAAATATTACCACAATCCTACACACACCTGACAAATATTACCACAATCGTACACATACCAGACAGATATTACCACAATCGTACACACACCTGACAAATATTACCACAATCCTACACACACCTGACAGATATTACCACAATCGTACACACACCTGACAGATATTACCACAATCGTACACACACCTGACAGATATACCACAATCGTACACACACATTACATATATTACCACAATTGTACACATACCTTACAGGTACATGTCTTACAGGTATCACACACTTGACAGATATCACCACCATTTAACTTCTACCTGACATATAATACCACAATTTAACCTCCACTTGACAGATATTACCGCTATCACACACAGCTGACAGATATTACCACAATCACACACACACGACATTAAATGGTCTCGTCTCGTTGCTGACACTTTGGAGTGTAAATGAAAGCAGGGGGCCTATTAGCATGATAGCAATGCAATGATATTTGATATACGACTGTCAAGCCGAGCTCTCTGCTATATGATTCCCATGCTGAAACGGATAGTTTATTTCCTTTGAGATTAACTACTGGACCGACAATGAATATCAACAAAGTGGCATTCAAAGATGACAAAAGATATATTACAACCAATTGGAATATCAATAATGAAAATACAATTTACCATAGATCAATATTGTCCTTTCCTTTTGATTGTAGTCAATGAATAATCAACCACCATTGAAGATTTTGACCCGAGTTCACAAGTCGATATCCGGGCGCTGATTTCTGTCTCGTGTCTTGTCGGGGAATTTGAGAGTAAATATTCTATATTCATCAATTATACTGAGACCTAAACCCAAGTGAGAAATGGAATTGTCGGAAAATCAATCAAGAATATTGTTCTGTCTGGTTTTAGATCAGGTGTATTTTTAATACTGTCCAAAGATTCTACCCAGGAAGTGCGCATACGTTGTAAGAGGCGTCACCACTGCTCACCGATATTGGAAGGAAACAATACTTCAGTAATCACCAGTGATATGTTTTACAATAATTTGTAAAATTTGCTTCATGCTGTCCGACTTCAGCTCATTACAACTAACACGGACTTCCGGCAGTGACGTCATAAATGTTCGGCGGGCACGCGAACGTGAGCTCGGATATCGACCACTCCCGGTTAATAGTATTTTTATCACTAAGACTTTATAGGCCGGTTGTTGCCTTTTGATTCAAACTTACGTTGTGATAGTTCTTATGAAAATTTAATGTCACCGAATTCTGCCGATCTCTCGCCTGTAAACCCATAGCTGTTTATACCTACTTACCTACATCACCAGGTACTGAGAGAACTTTGACGATACCATGCTACTCGTC